CTCATCTTTTGGCTGTCCTTGATGCATGTATGTGTTGCGATTCATTCCGGGATACTTCCGTGAACTTCCCCCTTGATAGATTGTTTCCAATCTAATCTTTTGGTTGTCTTTGATACATGTATGTGTTGCGATTCATTCCGGGATACTTCCGTAAACTTTCCCCTTGCTAGATTGCTTGCAAACTCATCTTTTGGCTGTCCTTGATGCATGTATGTGTTGTGATTCATCTTTTGGCTGTCCTTGGTGCATGTATGTGTTGCGATTCATCCCGGGATACTTCCGTGAACTTTCCCCTTGATAGATTGCTTCCAATCTCATCTTGTGAGCAACGGGTAGGAAGCGCTGGTTGCACCACAGGAAAGGCACTTGTGTTATGTGTGTTCCACCTGGGACTTGTGATTGCATGATGGGGTTTTTCGAGCGTCCTACCATTTTGAAGGAAAGGAGGGGTCTGCACCGGCCACTGCGGATTGCGAAACGCCGTTCTCTTTTGCAGGCTGACGTTTGTTCGTATGCGGGGGTCAGGCCATCGAGCTGTCTAACGGGAGTTTGTCACGCCGGGTGCTTAGTAGCGTCCTCGTCCGCGCGGTAACGGGCTTTGGCCCAATTGATCTGTCTGGCGGTGTGAAACGTTTCTTTAGGCGGGGCCTAGCCTGTGGACTGGCGGAGGGAGTACCGCTGCATGCGAGCAAAGACGGAGCCTGGGAGACGATTAGTAGTTTCTCATGGTTTGGTTCAGGAAAGGTTGTTCCTTGTCGGACCGATGGAAGTGAATGCCTGGACAGCTGGCTTCAATGACCCTAACGAGATGTGCGGGGTGATTCTCGAGATTAACGGTGGGTACACGAGCGGCAAGTCGGGATGGGGTATTCTGGGCAAGAAGGTGAGGGCGACCCCCCACTGGAGTCTGGATACCGCGCTCGCGACGGTTGAGCTGTGCTTGAGGTATGGCATAAAACTCTGCCGATGGTAGCAGTGGAGAGACCATTTCCGGGGAGAAGGTCGGTGAGGAGATGATCGACCTGTGTGCGACGTTTGCCTGAATTTTGATTTTTGTGTCTCCATTTGTAAAGTTGCCTGATGAATGTTGGATGGGGGTTGAGCGTCTGAGTCTATTCTCACCTCCAAGTCTAAGTCCACACGAGTGAGAGAACATGATGAGGAAGGTTGGATAGGAGTCGAAAGGAAATGGAACCAAGAAAAAGGAATGTCGGCTAAGCATGATCGATTGAGGGTATGACGAGGCGACAGCATTAGGAAAAAGGGTAGGGAATACTAGGGCGACCGGGATGAAGGGGTCTGAAAACCATCCTCGTCAAAAGAAAAAGGGAGACAATCTGATCATGATGGGCCATGTGGTGCTCTATTGTGAAAACAGGATAGGCGCCGGAAAACCAAGATGGCACGATGGTTGTCGCCCCCTGTCTACTCTAGCGGATCGGAAATGCCCATAGATGTAAGGGAAGGGGTATCGGTCGTCCTCCCGGAGGAAGGAACGTGGACGGACCTAGAGCCAGCTTATGAAACCGTGATGTTGGACGAGAAGGACGCGTTCCTCTGGATAGAGACAATCTCGACTAAGGTCAGCCTGACAAGACTTTCACCCAGCCTGATGGACCTAGAATTCCGGGAAACGGTGGAAGCTCGAGGATGGGTCTACATATCCCAGGAAATGGAAAATGCAACGGTAGTCGGACTAGTATTGGGAACGGCACCAGATCAGTTGTTTAAGCAAGCGGAACGGGAAGTGGTATGGGCGGCATGTCAGCGGGCGAAAATGGAGATGGAAAAGATGGAGGTGCGAGTGGAACTCGGAGACCGGAAAAATATGAGACGCCCCCTTAGGACGATGAGATGCGTGCTACCCCCGTTTCTAGTGGATGCAGTCTTTGGGACCATAGATAGATTGGAACGGATATGTCGGCCGATGACGCGCCTGCGGCTGTACCAATGTGCTAGACAGGACTTCTTTAGACTGTCGGTGGAAGCGGGGCCGTTTGAAGGAAACTGGGCGGAAAAATTGGCTGAGGTATTAAACCTCCTCAGCGCGGACGAAATCTTTGTTCCCAGTCCAGTGCATTGGCAGATAGTCTACCGGAATGTGGCGGCAGGGGAAACCTTCTTGGAGGGAGTGAAGGACCTGTTCTCAGACGAGGAAGGGGATTTCAGTGATAGTGAGGATGAGGACGAAGTAGAGGACTGGGACTTCTGACAAGGGGGGCGGGGACTTACCCAAGGACGGGCTGTCGACTATGTGCAGGTAGGGAGCGATGGCCCGAAAATTTCTGCTATGGGATTGTACATGGGAACCAAGGCGGACCAGAGGTGGGGTGGAAATGTCTATACCGATGGGTAATGAATGGAAGGGGACCACGTGTGATTGGCGGGGGTATGAGATCGTGCCAGAGCTATCATACCTATGGATAGAACGTGTATGGAACCCGTTGAGGGAAAAGGAAGGATGGAAAGATATCGCAGAAGGGACAGTAAAGGCCGTTGGGACGGTCGTCTTGTCAGAGCAGGGGTGGCATCTGTTCTGCACCACACTTGCTGCAGGACAAAATTCGATGTGGCTTTTGGAAGGTGCCGAGGCAAGGACTCGAAAGGCAGGAGAAAGGTTCGCCAACAAAGGCTGGGATGAGGTCAGTAGTAGAGTCGTGATGGGAGGATGGAAGGAATTTGAACCGCCCTGCGCCCGGACCAAGACCTGGGTGCCGGAATTCGTGGCAGACTGGTTTGGGGGCTTTGATCACGTTGCGGAAGTAGCTGGCACTATGGAGCGGATACACGTAAACTGTGCATGGTTGGCAAGAGAATTCTATAAAACGTCCCTGAAAAATCGGACCTCTCCATGGCGACAGAGCCCGGGAGGTCCTTACCATTTTGGACATCGAGAGGAACGACCGGCTGGAAGTAGCCCCGGAAATTAGGGACGCCATAATCCGCCGGAAAGTAGCAGCGACACCGTGCTATGTGGATGATGTGTTCAAACTATTTGAGGTGTTGTGGTTCGACTAAAAAGAGAAGGAAAGTCGTGGGGCCAGGCAGGCATGAGGAAATTGCTAAGATAAGGGATTGGGATGTCTGGCCATTGTAGGACTCAGTGTAGATTACAAGAGAGAAGACCAAAGACAAGAGCGCAGATGGCGCGAAGAAGGACGTTCCTTGAGGACCGCCCGCTGGGCATTGAGCCGCCCAGGGATGTGGATGGTAGGATAGAAATTAGCCTGCCCACCGCAAATGAGGGATGGCACCCAGTGGTGGATTGGGTCGGGGTTGAACTTGTGGAAAACATGGTTTACCTAGTGACGAGGGTTGAATGGCGTGCGGATGAGAATGGGGAATGGAACTCGGACCCGCGGGGACATATGCGGGCGGAAGGGCGGTTGTATGTATCAGAGGACGGGTGGCGGGAGTTCGGAGTCCAGTTGGCATCAGGAGAAGACCCGCTGAGTATGTTCGAAGGGGCATGGCAATTAGTGTGGCAAGCGGGATTCGAGTTCGCGGATCCAGGAGGTGACAATGTAACGGCGGACCTTAGGGTAGCCACGGTCGGGAGTTTTGAATTGCCTAGTGCGAATGTACGAATGAGGTTGCCGCCCTTCCTGTTGGGGAGATTGGGCGGTTTGGAACTTGTTAGACGAGCAGTAGCCGACCTCGCAAATATGACGTATGAAGATGTGATGGTATATCGAGAATATTATCGGGCCTTCCTAGAAATGGGGCCGTTTAGCGATGAACAGAGGTACGAGGTGTTGCGCATCCTGCGCGCTGTGTTTAGTACTAGGCCAAGGGCTCCGGTCGTTAATAGTGAGGTCATGTGGGGTGTCGTTCGACGGGAAATAAGTCGAGGGATGGCGTACGTGGATGATCTGTGCCGATTGTATGAGCCGACGGAAGTAGGAACGGACCAGTAAAAGGGTTGAGGAAAGGAAAGGGAATAGAGAGGAAAAGAAGCTTCAAGCTAAAGACCGGGGAATATTCGGGTAGGAGCTGAAGATTAAATGAAATAAGCAAACTTGCTTGCTGTTTAAACTGTGCAGGGGACCGCTCAATCGAAATGGCAATGAAACGCGCACGGATGTCGCGACGGCCCACGCACCCCCGACCCCCCACGGAAAGCGAAGACGGATGGGAGGTATCGCTCCCAGCAAGCTACAGGCTCCGAGGGATCGATACCGAATGGAGAGCCGTGACCTTGGGAAGGGACCACGCGTTCATGATGGTGAAATGTTTGTGGGATGGTATGAGAATTAACAGGGGACCAGGGGACGATCTGTATACTGACCTCAGGGTGACTGGGACCGTATACCTACCAGAACTTGGATGGCACATGTTATGAACGGAACTTCCATCTGCATACGCAGAGAGCTAGCAACGTCGGCATATATATTGTCACAGAACTATTGACTAAGCGCGTAGCCACGTGAAGTAGAAGAAGAAATAATATATATATGCAAGGAAAATGAGCGATAGCGATCTTCGAAAATGAAACAACATCATACACACGAGACCAGATAGTCGTGACCTTGAACCAATAGCAGAATTGCATCACGAGTTCAACCAAATAAGAGCACAACAAAAACTCATAATTGACAATGCTGGAACAATCTCATCATCATCAACGAAGAACCAATGTTGATATCCTATCTGGCGCTCGGCGCCCAGACAGCGCCCAGACTACAAATGGCAGATCCTATCTAGCCTATCTACAATGTCGTTGATGACGTCAACAGCTCCCCCAAGTACAAGTAGATCTCGGCCAATGCCGTTCGCTTCAAGCACCAGGAGTGTCTCTCGTATCACTCACAACCTCGTTCCCCAACTCACAGATGCCACATGCACCCAAGGACCACCATGCGCCCCATCCAGCATACAGCAGCGCAGCTCGGCTATGGCTGCCTGATCCTTCCAGCTCGCTCGTGAGCGTGTGAGCGTTGGGCAGCGTTAGCGCAACATGCAGCCAGTGCCCGAATGCCCAATGCATGGGCAGGCCCTTCCCTAAATGGAAGCGGCCTGCTTACCTTGCGTGCAGCTTGGCTTCGCTGGGCCCCTGCCCAGAAGCTTCTGGTAGGCCAAGAGAGGCTGAGCCCCTGTCCAAACAAATCAGGCCCAGGGCCTGTGACAGTTACCCTTGCCCAACTGCCTACCGTCTGAGTTGGGTCCATCTTGCGTATCTCGCCCAGGGCCTGACTCAGATGCATTTGATAGAGAAGACCAGGGCCTGGGCGCTTTCAACTAACTGGCGCTGTGCAACTGCCTGAATATTTCCCCCCAGTCGTGGGGTAGTCCAAAACAGGCCTCTTGTCGTGTGTCGAGCTTGCCTTCACTTATGGTGGCCGACGCTATTGCAGATAGGGGTCCAGTAGGGCTTACCGAGGCCTTGTGCCTCGCATATATATTGTCACAAAGTTATCAGAGCGCAAAAGCGAAAAGAAAACAGAAAGAAAACAAAGAAAAATAAATTCATTTTTTTATCTTCTTCCTTACAACTCCCCCTACTCAGAACCTCTTGCGTACAAGGCCGCCCACGTGGATGTAGGTTGAGCAGCGGCTGCCCCCACCCCCGTGTGTCATATCGACCCACTTGCACACAGCCAAATGGCAAAGAGGCAAAGAAAAGAGGAAGGGAACAGCCAAATACAACAAAACAAGGGGCAATAAGCAACAGTACAAACCGGATCCTAGACGACAAGTCCCACATGCAAACACCGCCCCACCTACAAAGGCCAAACGACAGGACAAGACCCCTCAGGACAAAACACTCTTGTCTGCAAAAAAAAAATCCCAATTACATATCTATACACAGCAGATGGCCTTGTTTGCAATCAAGAAGTTGGTATTCCAATGTCAACTGAAGTACTGGGACACTGCCAACAGCAAAAAAAATATAAAGACACTCCCAGATGACAATTCCCATTTATAAACACCGCCCCCCGTGGTAGGCCGAACAACAGGAACCAGCCAACTAGGATGCCAAAAGGAAAAAACCCGGATGACAAATCCCACATGAAAACACCGCCACGTGGGCCGAACAACCCACATAAAATCACCGCCACGTGGACCGAACAACAAGACAAAGCCGACCGGGATGAAGACAAAGATGCCAACATCACCAACAATTCTACCATAACCATACTTGAAAAAACGGAACCACACAGTAGGTCCGTAAAACGAAATACCCCAACAATGGGGAAGAGGAAGTATAAAAACAAAAAACGGGCACATTGCAAAAATAAAAACAAAAACAAAAACAAAAAGCAAGGGCAGATTGAAACCATTAAATTTCTCATTCTTCTTTGAACTCCACCTCCACTGTGCCTCTCACGTGCAAGGCTCGCCACGTTGATGAAGTTGAGCGCGAGATGCCCCCATTCCCGTATGCCATAACAACCCACTTGCACGCTGTGAGAGAGGCAGAGTGAAGGGGAAGGTGTTAAACACAGGGAAAAGAGACAGAGAGAGGACAAACAAAGAATGGAAGAGGGAAAATACGGAGTGTAGAATGAGGAAGACGGCAAAGGAAAGGGCAAGAAAAAGCTCAAGAATGAGGCTGTCCTTGACGACAGAAAGGACACACATTGTAAGGATGGGGTGGATGAGCGCATGGAAGACCTAACTAAGCATTCTCAAAACAACAACTACCACGACGGCTGGCATTAAGCATGCCAACCATACATTCCTCACAAATAGCATGTCTATTGCCGGCCAAAATAAAAGAAGAACGCCCCCCACAAAAGAGCATGCATTCAGCATAGCGTCCRTGGCCACAAAATGGACATATAGTGTCCGGATGAGGAGGGTGCCTGCAGTCAAGAACGGAGGGACAATCCTCTACACACATGGATGCAGAAACCATCTCATGGTAGTGATTGTGACAAAGATGATGGCGAGTACACCCAAGTGCAACAGTGTCTGTGGCTGTACAAAGGAGAAGGTCACATAGTGTGTGTACATTGTACTCCTGCACTGTGGTCGCAGAGGAATGATCTTCGACATAAAGGAGATTGCGGACAGTTCGATGTGGCAAGAGAACAACATCATAGAGTAAGAAATCAGTAATATCAATCATGGCATGGACCATGACACCGTCGTTCCACACCTCCCAATGGTCAGAGGCGTGTACAATAGCCATGTAATGGYCAGGCCCRTGCACAATGCAGGCAGAGATKYGGGATGGAGGATTAAACAACTCACYTGGTAGAGCATGGCGTAGTTCAAGCTGGCGGTTCCTCATCGCTATTTCTAGGACAGCAATGGTAAAACCTCCTTCCTTGGTGTAATTACGATGCTCTGGCTGTAGGTCGGGGGGATCAGCAAGATTAGCGAGATCAACATCAAGCTGTAGGGCAATTGCAAGAAAATCTGATGGTGTATACAACGGCGATTGAGAACGTGAAGGCAGCTATTAGTTGCAGTCAGACCACAGAGATTGGCGGGGATCTCAGGCTGGTTTGGTTGGTCAGTCATTTGTAGATCACCCGTGGGGTCTGCGCAGGGTGGTGCACAAGTATGCGGTTCATCCATATGATCCTGGTCAGCCATTTGCAAATCCCTCTTGGGGTCTACGCCATGTGGGATTAAATGCAGTCCAAGCAGATCATGTTCCAGTCCCTCATCGTTCGGGGCCACACAGGGTGGGGCACAAGTATGCGGTTCATCCATATGATCCTGGTCAGCCATTTGCAAATCCCCTATGTGGTCTATGCCTTGCGGGGTTAAATGCAGTCCGAGCTTATCATGTTCCAGGCCCTCAGCGTTCGGGGCCGCATGTTGTACAGCTAGGGGACAAACGAACATGGAAGGGCATAAAACATGGTGTTGTGGCTGTGTGCAAGCATCTGGACTGTCTGTAGGAGGCATAGGAGCGGATGTATCCGTTTGGGACAACGGAACAGCAACAACATGTGGAGGAGGCACAGAGAAAATTGGGGTAGACAAAGAAGCAGGCCGCTGATCCCTGGCCAAGTGGCGATGTTGTGCATGTCGTCGACGATGATACACAATAAGAGGAGTAGCGATGTTTCTAACAGAAGATGAGGATGTCACAGGCAATGGAGGCGGAACAATGGGAAGAATAAAAACCGCAGAATCGGTTCTCAAACGAGACTGTGGAGGAGATGGGGGTAGCAAGGAGGAACGCAGCCGTCTGCGGCCAAGCACAGAAAGGGATGAAAGGGGGGTGGATTGGGCAGGATGTCGGAACATCGAACACAAGTGTCGGGCTGGGGTAGAGGAAGCTATACCAACCGCACGTGAGCGGGAACTCAGGGAACTCCAACAGGTCGAAAGGGTCTGCGAAAGGTTAGAAAGAGAACTGAAAGAGACTACTGATAGAGAAAAAGAGATAAAGAATAGAGCTGCCAGGCTTGATACACTAGAGACTGACAAAGCTGAGTTAGAGGGATTGGACGAAACGGGTTCGTCCGACCCCATGAAAGTGTTGAAGAACAACAAGTTGTCACTCCACGCGCATTTAGACAGCAGGTTGGACTTCATGCAGAGCACTTTGGACCAGATCCTGGATGTATTGACAAGGCCAGGATTCAGGCCACCAGCACAATCGTTGTTGCCGTTAACGGCGATGTCAGGTCCCTTTCCCGTACAAGCTGGCACACAGCCAAGTGGTACGTCTGCAGCAGTCTCACAGACTGTTGCGTCTTCTTCTTCGAGTCCAGTGGTGATTCCTACATCACCACAACAACCTGTTCAGCAATCTGGACAGCCGCAAGGCCAATGGTATCCCAATACCCCAATGAAACCGCCTCTTGCCTTCTCAGGCGAGAGAAAGGACGAGGAACTCAACACATGGTTGAGGACAGTCCCGGTTTGGGTGAAGGCAAAAAGGACCTTGCCAGAGGATGAGGTGGTAACTGCAGCGTCTTACCTAGAGGGTAAGGCAGCCAAGTGGCTAGATGGTGTAGTTGTGAAGGCCGGGTACGGGCGACGCATGGCGGATTGGGCTAAGTCTTTGACCTTAGACCAATTCATGGAGATGGTAGAAGCTCGATGGCATAACCCACAGGAGGCTCAAAGGGCCACTGATGCCATAAACAAACTTGACCAACGCAAGTTCAGGTCAGTTAGGGAGCTTACGACTACCGTGGAGGCCCTGATCCTCGTCTCGGGCATCAACTACATTGACCAGTTCTTGTTAACAACTTTTGTTAGATGTCTTCCAGAGAACATCAGGAACTTACTGGCTAGTGAGGCACGCACCGAGTACCACTCGTTTGAGACATTGTCTAGGAAGGCCTTAGACTTAGAGGCAACACTAGGCAATGCTCAACCCACCTCAGGGAACGACTCAAAGAAGAAGAAGAGTCCCCAGGAGTGGAAGAAGAAGGGGGCGAAGTTGATGATGGTTAAGTCAGATGGGACCCAAACTGAAATCGATGAGCTCTCTGACTTGGTGGACTATTCAAAGTGTGACGGCGAGGAGGTAGCTGAGGGTAGCACCCTCGCCGCGGTAGTAAAGACTAAGGCAGGTGGCCGAGGTAAGGGCCAACCTAGGAGTCAAGAAAAGGCCGCCTCCAATCAGACCAAACAGGCTGAGTGGGCAAAGGCAGGTCTTGACCAGGACGTGTGGTGTGACCGTCGATCGCGTGGCGCTTGCATCAACTGCAGTGAATACGGACACACGCAGTGGAAGTGTCAGAACGCGAAGGTTACGCAAAAGGTTGTACCAAAGGTTGGGGCAACTTATTCCCAGGCATCTAGCTCGGGAAACGTGTAGGGCCAGTGGAAGTAATAGTGGCTTCTACTCAAGATGAAGTGGGAATGATACCCTCCTCACTTCATGACAAGGCCGAAGCTAATGACTCCTTAGCTACCCCGCAGACGCATCTAGACCAAACTATGCTCTGTACGTTAGATGTGTCTGAGGCCTTAGAAGACTTAGAAGGCGAATGGTCAAACAAGGATCCTCGTGAGTCTTGGGTAGACAACGGATCCACGGGAAATTGCATAAGTCTCGATTGTTTGGAAAGGCTGCACCTACAGGACCGGGTACGGCACCTTAGTAGACTAGTAGCATCTACTTTGGCCAACAAGGAGCGCATGATAGTGACAAACTACATCAAGGACGTAGTCTGTACCTTCTCCTATGGAGGAGGCGAGCTTAACCATAAGATCTCGTTCTTGGTTAGTGACGACTTACCTTTCGAAATGCTGTTAGGTATGTACTACCTCGAAGTTGCTAAGCCCCAGATCGACTGGGATAAGAAGGTGCTCAAGCAAAAGTTGCCCGATGGCCGAACTGTCAGATTGACTAAGTTCAAGGCCATCAGTATTGTAGACTCCTATGGCTGCTTGTGTGCATCAGCATTCTACAACTATTACAAGCAAAACAAAGAGGAGGGTATGTACCTTGTTTATGTCTCTGAGAAGGGGGAGGCCGTTAAAACACCCCCAGAGATAGAACGCGTTGTTGCTAAGTTCCCTGATCTGTTCGAGGAGCCCATAGGAGTTGTTGATAAGGACGTCGTCCACACTATAGAAATCATTTCAGGGAGTAAGACCCCAAAGGGAAGGATCTATAGGATGGCCCCTGCCGAGTTAGATGAACTTCGGAAGCAACTCAAGGAACTGACAGAGAAGGGATGGATTCGGCCTAGTACTTCCCCTTACGGATCACCCGTACTATTCGTACCGAAGAAGGGGGGTACTTTGAGGATGTGCATTGACTATAGAGGCCTCAATGCCATCACAGTGAAAAACGCAGAGCCTCTTCCTCGCATAGACGACCTAGTGGATAGGGTGCAAGGATGCAAGTACTATACGAAGATAGACTTGAAATCTGGATATCATCAGATCGCAATAAGACCTGAGGACCAACACAAGACAACTTTTCGGACTAGATATGGTCTATATGAGTTTGTTGTGATGCCTTTTGGTCTTTGCAATGCGCCGGGTACATTCCAGCACGCTATGAATCGGATCTTCTATGACCATTTAGATAAGTTTGTCGTAGTCTATCTAGACGACATTCTGATCTTCAGTAAGTCTGCCGAGGAGCATGCAAAGCATGTTGAGACAGTTCTCTCACTCCTGCGACAACACAAGTATAAGGTCAACTTAGAGAAGTGCGAATTCGGTCGCACTAAGATACTATACTTGGGTCATGAAGTATCCGCGGAGGGGATTAGGCCGAAAAATGCGAAGGTGGCTAGTATTCGAGACTGGCCACGACCTCAGACTGTCACTGAGGTCAGATCATTCTTAGGAATGTGCGGCTATTATAGGAACTTTGTAAAGAACTATTCTACAGTCGCCTCTCCTTTGACTGATCTAACTCGACATGACACCCCGTGGGACTGGAGTGATGAATGCGAAGGTGCTTTCAAGAGTTTGAAGCATGCACTCATGAATCATGAAGTTCTCATGGTTCCCGATCTGCAAAAGCCATTCATAGTGACCACTGACGCAAGCCAATTCGGCATTGGCGCAGCGCTGGCTCAGCAGGATGGGAAAAAGTTGAGACCGATTGAGTACATGAGTAAGAAGATGCCATCAAAGAAGTTGGCTAAGTCCACCTACGAAAGGG